ATGCAGACTTTTCGACAACGATAAAAGAGCCATGTTTAGAAAAAAGGAAATCATAAAGTTTGCAAGTCTTAAAATAATCCCAAAACTACCCCAACATCTTTCTAAATAAGTTTTATTTCTATAGGTACATAAAATGATGCTCACCAAAAGAATGGGGTATACTGGTGCAAATGATTCATGTATTCTTCACAACTTCAAATTACTTTATAAGGCAAAGTACATAATCCAATGATGGGAATTGTTATTATTCATTCAAGAAATCACCACCAGATGGCTACCAGTCTAGGGGACATTTGACATATTGGAGATCAAAACAAACCTCAATTCCCTCATATATGTGTGTAGTTGTTTACATATGAAAATAATAACAGATACATAATTCAAACAGATAAAGCCAACCTTAAGAAGCAATATTTTGTCCCATTGTCTCCTCATATCACCTTCCCCTGTGATAACCCCCCCCCCCACTGTCAGTATAATAAAATAAATAACTTGTGTTTCTTACAGCTCCGGGTTAGATAGTACAGGTTCTTACATGTTTACACTTTACAGCATTTCTTAGACATTTATTATAGGAAACATTTGTTGTTTTTCATACATCATGCAATTAAGTCCCAGTCAAAACTGTCCCCTTAGGCCGAAAGGGGGACAACTTGGACCTGCTAGATGGAGGGTATCACCATAGAAACCTGTCACATCAAATAAGTAAAGTAAAGTCAGATAGTTGAAAAGCAGGCTTCCTGTTAACTACCTTTTCATTTAATTATGATTTAATTACTTCTACTGGTTCCTTGGTAGCCTGGAATGGGAGTTAGGTGTGTAGTTACTATAGAAACCAGTGGCAATTACTATAGCAACCAGAATTTTAATGTGTTCCACTTACTGCATCATTTAGCATGGAGTCTTCTGGGCTTGTGGTTGTCATTTCTAGCAGAATCCTGTCACAATTCTGTCCTTCACTCTGACAGCAAACCCTAATAAAACTTGATAGGCCCATTTATTGGAAAGACCCAGTAATAACCCTTGCTTAGAATATCTCCCATTATACACCTTCTATGCTTTTAAATCTGCTTTTCAAGTATTTCATACAATTTCAAGTGTAACCTACATGCTTGTTCCCTTTATTTCTTACTTATCCTCTCTCTTTCATGCTGTTTTTCAATTTGAAATATGAAAGATGACTATGTCTTTTTCCCCAAGGGAGGGACACTCCACATCACATGTGCTTTTCAAGGTTAATGTACCAGGCCCATGAAAACTCTTAAAATAGTATTAAGTTTTTTTTTCAAAGATCAACTTGAATAAATCTGCTCAGAAGGAAATATAAATTCTGAAGAAAAATTCCTGTGAAAGATCAGAAACGTATGTCCAACCCAAAAAACATATTTTCCATGTTATAGCAAATGATTACAGTTGTGGTATCAACAATATACAACACACACTTACCAACCATTATAAAATCTAAATTCAAACCAGATTGCTAATTTCAAAACAAAAACCAGAGTCCCAAACATAGCAATAAGTTATGCAAGAATGCTTGGAGGGTTTGAGGTTGATATATGTGAGAAGGAAATTAAAAGGAACAAGATATGAAAATGACTGCTGTTTCCTGTAGTGCTAATTCAAGCATAGGGCACTTACCCCAGTTAATATGGGACTTATGTAATCCTAATTGATTACTAGAATTTTGAAAAATCTGAAAAACTCCAAATAATGAAATGTGATGCACATAAGCATGAGCTCTGGACTAGTGTATATTCTACCAGGAAAAACCCTTTGTAACCTAGTAGTAAGGTCCTTTAAACCAGAACGCTCTACATCACTAAGTCCGGTTAAACAAGAATGCTTATTGCATCACATTCACAACAGAGACAATTGAAACATCAACCACTTTTTGCATTAAACATAAAAATGAATTAAATATTTTTGTTTTCAGGATATATAGCAGAGAATGGTCTACTAACTGGCCATTAACTGATAACACAACTCATTAGCTAGGCCATTCTGTTTAAAACAACAATTAACAAATCCAGTCCAAACACCAGTGAAATGAACCTGATGGTGGAATATAGAACCAATCCTTAAAATAATACAGTGAGTCAGACCTAAATGATTTCTAAGTTTCCTCAGTTTCACTTATACACTGCTAATATTCCACAATGTTGATGCTATCAAATCCATGTTGGATCTACTTATACTAATCATAATAAGCATTGAATTTAATCTGGAAAAATATTTACAAAGAACATATGCCTGTAAAAAATGAATTCTCAATTTAAAAAACATATTGAAATAGAAATAAGTTCCTGTTTATTTAAACTTTTATGTACATGTTTTCTAGTTAATGCGTTTATTTAATCTTATTTTTTATGTCTATAATGGGTCGTTACAATTATATCTAAATATTCTATCAATCAACATGCAGTTCATCAAACTCTGTTTTTACATCAAAAATACCTAAACACCTTTCAACATTCATTTCAACTGGACAATTATGAATCAGACTTTTGATGACAAATATTTGATAAAATAAACTCATAACTTGTCACAAGATGGCAGCACCTCCTTATAGGAAAATATGTCGCATTCAGGCATATTACAGATGAAAATCCTATTATCATAACCTTTTCAATTGATTTTCTTCTAACAACAGCAATTTAACAATTTAATTTAAAGGAATTCTCAATGTATATGTCTTTCAAGATTAAACTAACCTCGTGTCTATATCCATCATAAGTTTCTTGAAAGACCATGGAAGATGGCAATATTTTTAATTCTATTTTTCAAGGATATTGTACTTTCATGCTTATGGCTTTTATTGCAATATCAACCTGAACTCAAAATTGTATCAACCAGTTTATTTCTTATATTTTTTCAACAGCACAACAAAAATATGTAAGACAATAAAGCAAAATCAGTAGTCAAAAGCCTCTCTTAGTAAAACTATTATATAAAATATTTAGATACACTACCCGTTTAAATAAATCCTAATGTTAACATATGACTTCATGTTTAATAGAAAATAAGTGAAACCATAAACTCCTAAATCCCCACTTGACTAAATGTACAGCAAGCTGGCAAATTGTTTAATCTGCTAATCCATGAGACTATTATAGAGATGAGGTCATCTGTTAAGTCCTCATAATCCATTAATTCTGAGCCCCCCCCCCCCCACTTGACTCTCTTCCTCCTCTTGTTTTCTCCTAGTGACATTGTATATATCAATTCAATTGGTACATCAATTTCAAACTTACATCAAAAATTTCAATTTGAGAGAAACATTTTACATTTCCATTCTTTTCAACCTTGTGAGGGGAAGTAGACTTGGTGTAAGAGGCCAAAGACTTGGTGCAAGATGGCAGACACGGTGCAAGATTACATAGACACGGTGCAAGAGGGTAGACTTGGTGCAAGATGGCAGACACAGTGCAAGAGGGCAGATTTGGTGCAAGATGGCATAGACTTGGTGCAAGAGGGCAGATTTGGTGCAAGCTGGCAGACTTGGTGCAAGATGGCATAGACTTGGTGCAAGATGCCATAGACTTGGTGCAAGATGGCAGACTTGGTGCGAGATGGTAGACTTGGGAGAAATTTGATGCACCACAACCCTTAAAGGGGTATTCCTTGCCAGACCATCTCTCTCCTAATATGGTAGCTATAACCATATACATACTTTGCAAGTTTATCAAAAAACAGAAAAATGTTTTGAAATGGTCAATATTGATCACTTAAAAATGTAGTGCTCAATTCCAGTAGGCTGCCATCTTTTAAAATTTCACTCGGGAAGTGATGTCATCGACTCTCAACTTTGCATATAACATTAGGTAAGGAGCTATTAGAATTACTAAACCAGCTGAATATTTTTTTCAATTTGGTGTATGATTAAAATCCTTTTGATGATCTCTTCTTTAGTTCTAAGTTGACAACTCTTGAAAATATTTTTACACAAAAAGATAAGGGCTTCTTGTTTAGAAGTAATTTTGTACTTCTTTCCTATACTGTAATAGACAAGGCTATAACAGGTGAGAGTCGATGACATCACTTCCTGAAAGAAATCTGAAAAGATGGCAGCTTACTGGGAATGAGTACTACATTTTTAAATGATCAATATTGACCATATGAAATTTTTTTCCAGTGTTTTGCTAAATATGTAGAGTATATATATGATTGTAGCTACCATATCAGGAGAGAAATAGTCTGGCAAGGAATGTTCCTTTAATGCATTTACCAATTGACTCCTGACAGGGGCTTATAACATTAACTGGCTAAATTGATGCTACCCTAAATTCTTAATGTTTATTTAGGTAAGTGACAGACAGAGTAAGCCACATGTATTGGTCACACTTACAATTTAGACATGAATCCCTTGCAGAAGTCTCACAATTCACCCCCTTGGTCTGAATATGACTCTTAAATCGTCAAATATCCAACAAAATTTGAACTTCCTAAATAAAGCATATCAAGAGAATAAAACTATGAGATGAATAGATTCCAACATTTTGGACAGGTAGAGGTAGATCTGTTAATCCATTGGTTATAACTGTGATGATTTACTAGGACATCAGTTTATTCAAGCACTTAACATCAATTCTGTACTAGGGTCTAACCGGGAAATAAGTTGCACATATATACAGGCATCCTTGGCCCAAGGGTATTTCACTTCTTTCCATATTTAAGCATAAATGAAGTCCTTTGAAGAAGGATGATATACAGGATAACAGATTCATTATTTTCCCTTTCCTTGTACATATGCTTTCATGATATTCGCAGATATAGAAATTGTAACATGTTCACCCAAAGGGTTTTGGACACTTTAAAGTTCCTCTAAAGCTTGATAGAGAGACGAGAGCCTTTATAACCCACTTTGGGTTTTGCATATTTAAGATTGTAAATTGAAAGTGTTTTAGATCTGAGGAGAGGGTGGTGGGTTAAATAGATCTTATTTAATGTCACCTTTGTAACAATACCACAAGTATGAAACAACAAATCTATTCTCCTACCTTGCAGTACAATGCCTTTGTCCTCTATTGTATAAGTAAAAGCAGCAAATGGCGCAACTGGCGATTTGGCGATAAGGATCTGCAAGAAAATGCACAAAATGGATCTACATCTTTTCAAAATGATATCTTAAATGTAACAAAAAAATTGTAGATTAGAGATATTTAATACATCTATATAATCCATAATGATTAAGGCTTTCCTAGGAAATGAACAAAAAATTCCTATTAAATCCTTATTGACTGGAAGGAATCATATTTGATCAAACTCATACAGTACGCTCCTTTGGCCAATATCAAAATATCCCTCCAAGTAAAACACATATTCAATCCCTCCCAGTAAATAACCTATATTTATCAACTCAAAGCTTACTTGTCTTTTAACATTGTCTAAATACTGCACTATGAGGCGTGTGTTAACACTATGTGACCAGGTGTTGCCTAGTGCCGCTGTCACATAACCCCCATCCCCATCCATACTTGACATGCCATTTACTGAAAAAGAATAAAAATCAATTAATTATAGTATTTAGATGCTGGGTATTTCTAATGCTGCCCTTTAAGGTCATTGACTTTCTAATTACTGCAACCATAAGCAGAACTCCCATTTCATTTCACCAGTTTTATTTCGCTATAATTTTGGGAGTGAGTACAGTGCATTTCATCCGCAATAAAATTTAATCTGATTAAACGATCTTTCATTTCACTTCATATTAGTTGAAAAATTAATTTAAAACATCATTTTTCATTTGTTTAATTGTTTTTTATTCAATTTGGAAATCCTGTTTTTAACCAAAACATTGTATTTAATCAACATTTTAAGATTACAGACACAAAAGACACATACCTGACATATCATGATTGACATCATTCCCTGCGTCAGATGTATTACCTTGTCCGTACCGTGTTGTAATCTGATTGGTTACCACGACCTGAAAGCATAAACGGAACAAACAAATAAATTATTTTTTTTATGAAGAAAGTCATTCTTGACAGTAATTTAAATGATTAGTTCCAATATTTTGAATTATATTACAAAGGTATGGTTGGTATTTATAAATATAACAGTAGAAGGCTTATAAGTGCATAATTCATCCGTGTTTACATAGAATACAATTCTAATATATCACTTCTTAGCCATGGCCATAAACAAACCTGAAAAATTCTTTTAATATCTGTACGGAGCTGAATTTAGGTGAAAAGTGAAGTTGTCGATTGAACATATCAATGCAAGAGCGAGTTAATTACTAATGCTGTTTATGCAACGGCTGATGGATGGGGAGAAAAGGTCAGAGATGATAAAAGGTGAAAAATATCATGGGAAATAAATGATAAGAGAGGTGTAATAGTAAATAAGGAGCAAGGTTAGACAGAACCCAGTGAATGAGTGGTTTGAAATGTTACACATTTAGGCTCATACATTGTGATTCAACAGAGGAAATAGTACTGTAAAACTGCTATATTCTCTGCGTAACATCTGCCCCAGAAAAAATCATTTTTAGGCCCTAATATGATAGGCCTCACTTTGATATCTTGGTGAAAAAGTCAATTTCTCTAAACCAATAAAAGTAAAAACTAAGATCAATGCTATAAATTAACAGCATCAGAATTCCTCATTTTTATCAATGCATTTTTGTGTTTCATAAGAAGATTTTGTTCAAATAAGTTCATAACAAAAATGCCTCTCTCCACTAGAAAAACCAAGCTATGGCTTATTTGAGATCTATAGACTTCAACATTTGTAAACAAAGCAAGAAGGCATAGCAAGACAAAAGTTAATTGGCAAGAGATATTATGACCAAGGTGGGTAACTAATCTTATGCCATGCTATTGCTACCTTTATCTGAAATAACAGTCTGTGAGAAAAATCAAGAATGGCCTGGTGAAAACCATGGGCTTTCTCTTGAAAAGGTAAAACAGACTCTAAAAGTATAATATAGAAATTCTAGGAAATGAAAAAAAGTCTCGAAACTGGAGGAAAAATGCAAAGAATAGGCAGATCGCTATCATCAACAACAGAATATCAAGTTAAACAGTGAACAACAAAATTGACCATCGATGTGTTCCTCCATTACCTCATTCAGACAGGTTATATTTGCTCAGCTTGCCACGGCAAGCAATCACTGAAAACTGACCTATGTATGTGTGGATAGTATGACCTATGCCATGCCAGATTATGTCGTTTTGTAAATATTTATTTTCGCCAAATTAAATTCAGAGCGATTTGGAGATGGTGTTCTTAATGAAGTCTACCTGCGAAGAGGATTTTCACCCAGGCAACCTATGACCTTTCAAAGTGCCGCAAATCATTAAAACCATGAGAATTTTTGTTAACTAAACACCAGACAGATTGGCCATTAAAACATTAGTTTAGATTTTTGCAATCTATATTTTGATAATGCACTAATTACAGGTAGTGTTACCCGAAAAAGATGTTGAAATAATATCTTTGTTTTGACAGACCAGTTTTCATATGGTAAACCCTAGATATCATATTCAGTATTTGTAAATGCACAAAGTTCCCACAAATATTGTTTGAACAGATTGGTGCTGTATTTATGATAAGCTATTTCGATGTCAAAAACAGAGCCAGTAATGATAGAAAAAACCATGTTTTGGTTGGTTTTATTTTACATTAGCTTAGCAAGTTCTGTGTTCCTTATCTGTATGCTGTTTTCTTTTTATTTAATTGTCTGGGGGAGTCTAACTCTTGAGCTTACATCTGATTCTAATAGCTGCCATTTAGGGAATTCCAAAATATCCCATTCCCATTTTTTATAGAATTCAAATAATAAGAAATCGTGAAAATGACTCGCAAAATGAAAAAAAAAATCCAAATTTAAATTGCATCACATTGACAATGCAGTGCATTACTGCCTTATAATGCACTGCAAATCTGACTAGCCTCAAGGTAGAGAAATGTTTAATGAAACAAAATGACAAAAGGGTACTTGGGTCACAAACTGAAATTGAAAAAGAAATTGATGTTGAATACAGGTAAAAACAGGGATGACTGCATAATTAAAATGCTATTGTAACGCAATATCACACATATGCCCCACATACTCATGCTGGTGCCAGTTGCCAGTCAGCGTGAGCAACTATTAGCCATTAATTTCAATTTTTTATGCACTGTAATGTAAATCTAAAATAATATTTTCAAATGATGGACATATTGCATCAATTTCCAACTGTGGGTGCTAGAATGTTGATTATTTACTTGACACAGTAGATCAGCCTAGAACATATGCCAACACTAGTCTTATATAAATATTATCTCCACCAATTGATTTATTTTATTAGGCCTATGCCCATGTGTAGGACTTACTGTCCCTGTTTATTTTCGTATGCCACAACCCGAATTACACTTTCAATTAGTCTATGAACTATTACACTCAACCTGCAGATGTGAAATGTATTTATCTCCAAAATATGGTCAGAAGGAACAACTGGCAACATCTGGAGAAAACAATTACATTAAAACACCAATAAACAGTATAAATTAGTGATCATGCCAATAAGGCAATTGACATGGTTGATTGTGCAATTGTGCTTGGTGATTGTGCTATTATATTTTGATTGTGCTCATTCATTTCAAGTTAATTTTGCCTTTGTGTTAGGTTACTACACCATTCTGATTCACAAGAGCCATGTTTTAGAGTAAGATATATTGGGGGCTACAGAACACAATGGTGAGATGCCCATCCACACACATATTGAAACAATCCATCACATTACATTGCAATGTACCTACCTATATATTAACATGACATAACAATTTCTCACAGTTCATGATTAACATGTTTATTTTCCCAACTGAAACATATACACCACTCATTAGCCAGTGTGCCTGTAAGTATTCCAACTCCATATATTGTATATGATGTAATAGAAATCATGAGGATTCCTCCTATGTGCCAGACTAACAAAATAACAAACTTTAAGAGTTCTGTCTCTGAGAATCATATCTTGTGTTGATACTAATTAATCATCTGCTGATATATACATATCTTCATCATCACCATAACAACTGGTAAAAATAGATACAATATGCTGGATTCAGGGATAACACATGTATCAATAATAAAGATATTAGTAACTTTTTGGTAGATGATATACATGTAAAGTGAAACCTATAGGTCTGAACAACTCTCAATGTGAATATGTTTGACTTACATAGTTGTAAAACCTTGAAATGTGAGAACACCAGCTAAACTGAACACTTTTGGACAGTTCCAAAGGTGTTCAGATTAGACAGGTTTTACTAAACTTGTTTGAATACCTCATCGTTATATAACCTGGGCTACCTGAAACATTTTCCCTAAAAATATTGATGTCTTTGCTTACCACCTTATGGTTTGATCTTCCTTAATTTAAGATTGCCCAAATGTTAAGAAGATTTAAGATTTAAGTTAAATAATTATTGAGAATTATCATTGCATACATCACCAAATGAACTTTTCCTAATCTAAATAATCTGCTTAGCTCAAAGTGAATACCCACTTCAAGATAAATCACCAGTTTATCTTACAATCTTCACAATTAATAATAATGAAACACCTCAGCTTATTATCTGCATATATCATAACTTGCACTTTGACGGCTAATTGATCTAACAATTTCAGATAAAGATAAAATAAGGATTAACACTCACAAGATAGAAAATACTACACTCATGTGAGCCAATTTATTGCAGTGACATCTTTCAATGATAATGATATTCATTTAGCCAAAGGCAAAGCCAGAGCTAACCCATACCCAAATACTACCAATAGTTTGTGTTGAATCATGATTGCCACAATTTGCCAGATTGGCAACCAGCATTTCAAGTTCAATGCTAAAAGGCAGTCTGGACCACAAATAGAATTTAAATATTAAATTCTCAAAAATATTTATTCCAAACTCTTCTTTTCTTAATGAAAAAACCTCCATATTTCTAAAATCTCTAACAAAAGAGATGCCAAAACAAAGAATGCAATACATCCCTCCTACTACCCTGCGCGCAGAGTCTAGTTAAACTACACTCTGCCTAGTAGAGACCATATTACAGTTTAGTAGCCCCGCCCCCAAGACGGGTACAGCTGTCAGTTTGGGTAATAAATCACTTCTGACCGACGCGCTGATCTTTCTTCCAACAATCAGCGAGCTTGAAGAAACATACGCCAAATGCGTGCTAATTAAATATGAGCATGTCATTGGTCAATTCCGGTCTCAACGATGACGTCAGAAGGAATGACCATATATAGAACGTCGGTCAAATTTGGCCGACGAACACTGATTGGCGCGGTGAGTTCACGGGTTTATTTTAGTTTGAAAGAGTGAAGACGAAGCTCTCTTTTAAGAAGTGAAGTCAAACGATTGCAAAGGGTACCCTCCTACATTTTATAAGAGGATGGGAAATGATACACAGAGGTATCCAGAAAGAACATTATGACACATTCACGATTTCAAAATGCATAGTGCAATATATACCTACTACATATTTCAAAGACAGAAGATGGTATGAGGTGCATAGACATGCCCGTAGCCAGGGTTCGCTCGAACCCTGCAAACCCCCCTGACCAAAAATTCTTTCAAAATCATGCAGTTTTTCACCATTTTGAGCACTTCTCAAGTGATTTTAGCCATATTTGGGCCAAAATTGTCAAATGTGAACCCCCCTGGAAATTTTTGAAAACTGAACCCCCAATGGCAAATCCTGGCTACAGGCCTGATAGATATATAGAAAGAACAGATGACTAGAACAATCAAGGATATCAGCTGACAACCAGAATTTCTCTTGACATTTATTGATGCAAAAAACTCAAAGCAAAACATAGCATCATGTGGACATAAAGAATATGGTGCTTCCCCTTACAAACGCACATTCATTCACATCCTAATCACTTTCCTCTTAAAATATCAAAAATTAACAATTCATTTTTATTCAGTT